CATTTTACATTTTTGCCCTATCTTGTCATCATGGTGAAGAGAAGCAGTTGTGAAATGAGTGACATGGTTGTTAAGAATGCTGCATGGGCATAAATGTGAGGATGGTCATAAGTTCGAGGACTGGTCAAAAGTGTGAGGACCAGTCAAAAATAACTTTTTTCAGCTCTCTGGTTAGTCCTTTTGTGCATATGGACTACTCAGAGGGCTGAAAAAGTTATTTTTGACTGGTCCTCACACTTTTGACCAGTCCTCGAACTTACGACTGTCCTCATATTTTACATTTTTGCCCTATCTTGTCACCATGTTGAAGAGAAGCAGTTGTGAAATGAGTGACATGGTTGTTAAGAATGCTGCACGGGCATAAATGTGAGGATGGTCATAAGTGTGAGGACCAGTCAAAAGTGCGAGGACCTGTCAGAAATGACTTTTATCAGCCCTCTGGTTAGTCCTTTTGTGCGTATGGACTACTCAGAGGGCTGAAAAAGTTATTTTTGACTGGTCCTCACACTTTTGACCAGTCCTCGAACTTACGACTGTCCTCACATTTTACATTTTTGCCCTATCTTGTCACCTTGTTGAAGAGAAGCAGTTGTGAAATGAGTGACATGGTTGTTAAGAATGCTGCACGGGCATAAATGTGAGGATGGTCATAAGTGTGAGGACCAGTCAAAAGTGTAAAAAAAAAAAAAAGCCTAGCCTTAGTTAAACCATAATCTAGTGAGATTTATTTTCAAATAAATTTAAGAACAATGACTATAATGTAGTGACATTCTAATTTATGTTATTATTTATTCGATTTTTATCCTACCTTTATTATTTTGATAAATAACTCAAGATGGTGAATGTACATAATACTCCTCCCTACTCCTATTTTCCTCACAATAACCCTGTGAGGTAGGTTGGGCTGTGAGTGATTGGCCCAAAGTCACCCAGCCAACTTTCATGCCAATAGTGGGACTTGAACTCACAGTCTCCCACTTTCTAGCCTGGTGCCTTAACCACTAGACCAAACTGGTTTTCTTAATCTTAACAACAACAGAAGCACCTATGCCTGAGGCAGGCCCAACAAGTGACACATGGATATAGCGACACTACAACAAGGAGGAGCTGAAAGCCAGAAGTCTTCATTTAATCTAGGAACATTGTGTTGCTACCAGTTAGCACAAAATGCATTTTAATAACTGAAATTATTTTTAAAAAACATGGAAGCAGATCGTACAAATACAGGTAGTCCTCAAATTAAAACAGTTCATTTAGTGACTGTTACAATGGCACTGAAAAAAAGGGACTTATGATCCTTTTTCACAGTTATGACCTTTGCAGCATCCCCATGATCGTATGATCAAAAATCAGATACTTGGCAACTAGTTCATACTTAAGACAATGTGTTCACCACTCAAGTGTTTATAGCTAGGCATGTCACATTTTCAATCAATTAAGGGGGCACAATGCTCATGATTAGCAGATTTGCACCAGTGGTGAAATCCAAATTTTTTTACTACCGGTTCTGTGGGCATGACTTGGTGGGCATGGTGTGGCTTGGTGGGCGTGGCTTGATGGGCTTGGCAGGGGAAAGATACTGCAAAATCTCCATTCCCACCCCACTCCAGGGGAAGGATACTGCAAAATCCCCATTCCCTTCCCACTCCTGGGGGAAGGATATTGCAAAATCCCCATTCCCTTCCCAATCCTGGGGGAAGGATATTGCAAAATCTCCATTCCCACACCACTCTGGGGCCAGCCAGAGGTGGTATTTGCCAGTTCTCTGAACTACTAAAAATTCCGTTACCAGTTCTCCGAACTGCTTAAAATTTCTGCTACTGGTTCTCCAGAACCTATTGGATTTCACCCCTGATTTACACAGACAAAGCTGAGCATTTGCTGATTTTTCCTGTTTGTGCAGCCCTAATTTTTGATTATTATTATTTTTTTAATCAGGGACACCTGAGTTGACGTTTAAAACTGGGACAAGCCCAGTCAAATAAGCCTATTTATAGCCTTTTAATAACAGCAGGATAAGTCCATAGTCCTTCAAGCAAGGCATTCTCCAAAAGGTTCCAAGTAAAATGAAAACATCCAATATCTCAATTCCAGGCCAAGTCGCTGCCTAGCTTGTAACAAAGATGTTGAATGTTTTCAATAAAAGACCAGGCAACAATTTAAATACATGTTGTGCTTCAATGGCTAAATCTCAAATTAAAATGCATGCTGGGAAACATTAATAACACAACTTCCCTCACTACTGATATATTTATGTTCATCCAATCCAGCTGTTATGTTAAGCCAGATTCCCTGGAGAATATAATGAAGATATTGGAAATCATTCAGTTGCATGGCATGCCCCATTTTAACAGGTTCCAGGTCTCTAAATACTTTAAAGCTACTTCCAAGGGTGGCTGAAAGAGAGGCTCAAAAGAGAAACAGTGACCTCTTCTGGGTTTAGTAAAAACATCCAGCCATAAATGGCAAGAAGCTGATGTAAGATTTGCCTTAAAAAGATCATTCATATTTTGTCCTCCCAGATGAAGGGGAAAAAACCATGTTGCACTGCCTAAGTATGCTGTTTTTGAAAGCAAGCTGTTACATTAAGAAGCAAATTCATCTTGGAATCCAAAACCTTGAAAACTTCAAAGCCCAGAGACCTTCAAAGCCAGATAGGAAGACTAAACAATTAATTTGAAACACTCGTCTTCTTCTTTCAAGTACTGTAGTGATTAACTTGCTGTCCCAGTAACTGGGCCAGCATTACTAGTTTAAACAAACAAAATGTCTTGGCTGTTTAATGGGTACATTTCAATCAGATGCACAAAGCCATATAACTCAGTATATCGCTTTTTAAAACAAATTCATATTCACACCTATTTTCCTCCTTTTAGTCGCATACAGACCTATCAAGAAAAATGCTTCAGTTTCCAATTCACCATGTCTGTGTAATACTGTATTTAAAAAAAAAACCCAGCAAGTATCATTTCTTCTGTTTTCACTCATTTTTCGACTACATGCACATGGCACTTTAAATAGTAAGCTGTTGCTGAAAATGTTTGAGTGCTCTGTTTAAGTGATTCCTTCAGCCTGCCAAGCTGTAAATTATCTGCTGTTCCTTGTGTTATAGAAGACCTTCCTTCCTGCATATGTGTGTTGGGCTTCAAAATCGTGTTTGTGGATTTACGCTGCTTCCTAGACAAATAATAGGGACCTGCCAGTGATGAAATCATTGCTGCCATGGTCAGTGGAGGTGATGGCTCGAAGATGCTGTAGCATCTTTCTGTATGATTGATGTACAGGAAGTCCCTGGATCCGTTCCTAAGTCTGTCTTTAATTCGATTTTGTATGATGTAAGTAAGTCAGAACTCATGAACTGTCTGCCTATTACTAAAAATGGTGGATGGCATTCTCCTTCCTTGAGCTGATGAACCGCTGAGGACACCAATGTTTTCATGAACTGCTGGAAACAGGTTGTTTATTAAAAACGCAAGACTTCAGTGGTTCTTGAAACCATTGTGCGGGTTCAGTGATTCATTGGTTCGAGGATGGGGAATGCCATTCACCATTTTTAGTAATAGGCAGCCTGTTCATAAGAACAAGTTGCCCGTAAGTCAGATGTTCTTAACCCAGGAACTGACAGTACAGGAAATATTGTTAATGGAATGTCCTAAGTAGAAATAATAACAGTAATAGAGTTGGAAGGGACCTTGAAGGTCATCTAGTCCAACCCCCTGCTAACACAGGAGACCTGTACTAGGGATTCGAACTGCCGAACTGCCGACCTTTCTAAATGACAAGCTCAGTGCCTTAACCATTGAGCCACCTAGTCAGGTCACGTAGTCAGTTTTTCAGTTCTCTGTGGGTGCAAATCCTCATCAAGATAGTTCTAAGTGTATACAATGCTGGGTAAAGAATTTCTGACATTTCTACATTGTTAGAAGAAGCTGAGCACATACAGGTGCTATATATAGCTGTAGCAGTTATTCTACTATTGTAGCATCACGTTCAATCTATCTTCTTTCCTCCTGTAATTACTGATAGGATTGTTTTAACCTGCTATTTATCAGAGGCCATCATTATAATACTCGCAAATCATTTTAATCAAAAATGCCTACATTGTTAAATTAGTCTGTATTCTAAACTTGAAATTTAAATTTCCCCAAATGATATGTTCTTTATTAAATGTATTATGTGTATTTTACTTTTTTGGCTGTTCACCGCCCTGAGTCCTTCGGGAGTAGGGCGGTATATAAATTTAATTATAAATATAAATAAATATAAAATAAAATAAAATGTGCAAAAAATATTTACACACACACACACACACACACACACAGAGAGAGAGAGAGAGAGAGAGAGAGAGAGAGAGAGAGAGAGAGAGAGGGAAATATATATATATACAGAGAGAGATAGAGAGATGCTATTTATCGTCGTAACTTTAATAACCCGAAAACATTTCTGGCTAAAAAAAATTCTACTTGGCTTACGTTCGTTAGTAATATAGCAATGCATTTCTTGAACCCAGCATGAAAGCCTTTGTTTAATTAACTCAGTGCTTACTATTTTATTTCATCGTTACAAAAAGTCCAGTTTCATAGCAACAGTAAACAGCCTGCTGGTTACAGTAGTTACTGACATATTGACAGATGGCTCTTATGGCAAATAATGAAAAATATTTCTATTCCATCAAGCGCTTAGATACAAATTCTGAGAGACAGATTTTTCTTACAGCGTTATTGGTCTACTGGAATACTTTTTAATTGGACTGTATTTTGGTTTTTGTGGGTTTTTCTTTTACATTTGTCAACTTTGTTATTGAGCAACAGAAAAAAAGAATCAATGGCACTGAACAGTGAAAGGTGAAGAGTTTATATTTTTTGCAGGAAGGAAAGTCTGTTCTTGATTTTTCCAGCTGAGCCACCGCAATATTTGTTGGCATAAACCTCAATGAGCTACAATTACAGTAAATGCTGAACTTCAAAAGATTCAGTGTATGGTAGTCATCTAAAGACAGAATGTATTCTAGCTTATTCACAAATCCATATGCCACAGAAGTACTGAAAATGAAAAAGAACGAACTTGTGGAAGGTATAAAAAACCCCGATCACCTTCTGGACTGCCTGATAGAAAAAGGTATCCTTACCTCTGAGAAAAGAATGATTTTATCCTACTATAGAACACGGATGGCAAAGAACTCCCGCATTTTGGATATCTTGGCTTCTCAAGGTGAGCGAGCTTGCAGACTGTTTTTTTATCCCTGCTTGAAAGAGGTAGAGCCCCATTTATATAGCAGTATAAGGAATTATGTGAGCGATGTGAATGAGAAAATTGGAGATGCTAGGAGACAACTGATAGGCTATCTCCTTGAAAAAGATAAAGGATCGATTCAAAAGGCTAAGACTTCACATCAAGGGAAAAAAGATAGCCCTAGATCTATTAAACCAAAAAAGATGGTTTATAATAAACCTAAATCAAAATCCACTTTGGCAGCAAGACAGTCTCTAGACAATGTTCCTACGGTCTTTGATTTGGTGAAGAAAGGAATTCTTTCCGATCTGGAAAAAGCCTTAAACCCGAGTAATGTGAATGCAACAAACTCTGCAAATGAGACTCTCTTACACATTGCCGCAGCTCATGGGCACCCTGAAATAATTGACTATTTAATCAGCAAAGGTGCCAAACTGGAGGTCAAGGATAACAAAGGAAGAACCCCACTGCACAGAGCTGCTGAGAAAGGTCACGATAAAGCAGTGAATAAGCTGCTCCAAGCTGGGGCCAACATGTACAGTTTGGATCAAGAAGGCAAAACCCCCCTTCACTTGGCCAACCGGAACCAGCACACGCATGTCCTAAAGAACATCTTAAAAGAAGAGGCGAGACGGCACAGGAATCAGCACAACTTCCTGCACATGGCTGCTCTCAAGGATGATAGTGACTTGGTTCAAGTCCTTTTGAAAAATGGTGCTTTGGTCAATGCCAGGGATGAGAGAGGCCAGACAGCCTTGAGCTATGCTGTATCTCAGGGACATGAGAAGACTGTCAAGGTATTGTTGGAAGGTGGAGCCAAAGTGGATTCCAGCATAATTGAGGCGGCCTTTAATAGCAACAACCCATCGCTCTTCAAATTATTACTGGAATATGCCAGAGGATTATCATCTGAATCCATGGTATCAGCCCTGTTTAAAGCCATAGGAAAAGATCTGCATGGCATTGTGGCAGCCCTAATTGAAAGAGGGACTGACATTAATGCTCATAATGAAGAGCAGTACACACCATTGCTTGTGGCATGTAAAACGGGCAAGATTAAGTCAGCCAAAGTTCTTATTGAGAAGGGGGCCAACTTGAAGGACAAGGCCCCTAACTTAAGTAGCCCCTTACACCTAGTGGTTGAAGCTGGGGCCTTTTCCATTGCGCAGATGCTTCTGCAGAAGGGAATAGATCCTAACATCACAGCTCAAGGAAATCAAACGCCCCTCCACGTTGCTGCAATATACAACAGAGGAGCGTTAGTTGACCTACTAATTGAAGGAGGAGCTAAAATTGATGCGGTCACCACAGACCTGTTCACGTCATTACACGTGGCAAGTGATAAAGGTCACATTGATGTGGCTCTGAAGCTGTTGCAACATAAAGCTAATGTCAACCTCAAGAATAAGCGATCAAAGACACCTCTTCATCTTGCAGCTGAAATGGGGAATCCTGCGATGGTGGAGCTGCTTCTGAATTTCAAGGCCAATCCAAATGCAACGGATAAAGAGAAAAAGAGTCCACTTCATTTTGCAACTTTGGGAGGCCATTTTTATGCAGTGAAAGCCCTGTTAGCTAAAAAGTCTAGGGTTGCAAGCAAAGACATGGATGGCTGCACACCAATGCATTATGCAGCTATCAGTGGGAATATGGAGGTATTAAAAGAACTTTTGATGGCAGGCGATAATAAAAATATCAATGACAAAAATATTTGGAGAAAGACACTATTGCATCTTGCAGCAGAACATGGACACAGCAATCTGATAGATTTTTTGTTGAGCAACGGCTCAGCTATTAATGCCTTGGACAACAATAAAGATACCCCATTGCACTGTGCTTGCAAAGCTGGTCATTTTGATTCTGTAAGAGCACTGCTCAACTGGTCTGCAGGAGATAAAGCAAATCTGCAGGCTACTAATAGCTTAAAGAAGACCCCACTGCAAGTAGCAGAATCCAGTGTCACTGAGCACCAAGCTCAAATTGTTAATCTTTTGAAAAAGAAAATGTTACTGATAAGGTAGATTTGCAAAGAGGGATTATAGACATACCTTCTACATTTAATTTAGGAGATCCAGTGAAAGATCTAATTAATGCATATAGGTTGCCCCAACCTGATGTCCTCCAGATGTTTAGGCTCATAGATTATACTTACCAGAGTACTACATCTTTTCAGTCAATCAGTAGTTGGTTTTTCCCTGCAGGAATGAAGCATTCCTGTTTTATCTTTAACTGGCTCTTTTAAGAAAAAAACAATTAAATATACTAAATATAGGTGGCAGTGGAAGGAAGATTGTAAATTTGATCTGGGGAGCAACCTTATAAAACCCTTCTGACCTATTTATTTGCACAATCTGACTCACAACTCCAGACACAGTTAAAATGATGTTAAAGATACACATCTTTCTAGAATAGCAACTGTGTTCTAAGCAGATTACATTAAAAAATACTAAAATTGTTCTCTATAATACTTACGTGTAGCATACTATAGACAGAAGTTGCCTTCTGTAGGGCAGTTAGAGGCAACTTGTTTTGTGACAGTAGTAACAAACCTGCAAAAATGCTATGCTGTAGAAATTTAAGACATTTTCTTCCTTCTAGCTTGTGTTCTTCTTCAGCAAGGCTTGGTTTTACTCCCTTCTTGCTTATGGTTTTGATCTAGCTCTAACATTATTGCCATTGTTAATTTCATTTCTCTTGATTTATATGCACTGACCCATTTTATTTCTGTTAATATGTCCTTGTTGTTTTTGAATGGACAAATAACTGCTTCAGGGATCCAATTTTCAGAGAGGTGAAAGTGAGGTTATTGGCTTTAGTATAAATAAATAAGACTGCTTACACTACTAGAGCTTGTAACTACCCTATATTCAGCAATGAAATATAGATATTACCTGGCTGTATTCCTATCAAATGTGTTGATGTTAGCACCAAGTATAGCATAAGATAAAGTTTTATTACTAAACATATTAACACATAAATGGATATGATCCAAAGTAAATCTGGAAGCTAGGTACCACATTACTGTATTAGATCAATACTCTTTTGTTTAGAATCCAGAAAGCGTAACGGAATGCGTTTGATAATTTAAACACAAAGCATTGCCATGCATTTTATATAATGGAAACATTATTATATTCGGTGTTTTGAAACTGGTTCTTAATAAAGCCAAATTCTACTGATGGTGCCTCCTACTCCCTCTGTATTGTAATTTATTACACATATCACTCCAGATGGCCCCCGACCTCCGCACCTTCCACGCCGACCTAAAGACATGGCTCTTTCAGCAACTTCCCTGATCTGCCGTGGATTTTAATTTGGGGATTTGGGGATTTTAATTGGTTTTAATATTATTTAATTTTTATCTATTGTCGGGTTGTTTTATTGTTGTGAGCCGCCCCGAGTTCTACGGGAGAAGGGCAGCATATAAATCTGACAAATAAAAAATATCAGCGGTGAAATGTAAAATTTGTTACTATCGGTTCTGTGGGCATGGCTTGGTGGGGGGTGGGGTGGGGTGGGGTAATATGACTGAGTGGGCGTAGCCAACTTTTTTTTTTTTTTACTTTTAAAAACATTTTTTCTACAACCTCTTCGGCCGAAGAGTTGTAGAACAAATGCTTTTAAAAATTAAAAAAAAGCCTCTGATGATTGTGTGTCTCAGCTGGGCAATGTGGGGGGGAGGGATTTTTGCTACCGGTTCTCCGAACCACCCGCCTCCATTGCTACCGGATCAGGTGATCCGGTCTGAACTGGGAGCATTTCACTCCTGACACATATGTGTAATACACACTCTTATCGTTGACAAACTCGGGAAGTTTTACATCAGGTTTTCAGGCAATTGAAGAAATATTACTTAATTTCTCTTTTCTTTAGGACAAGAATGCCTCTTATTTTACACCCTAACTTGGAATGATTTATATGGAAATAAAACCCTGTACAGGTACCATATTTTTTGGAGTATAAGACGCACCAGACGCACCTATCTTTTTTGGTGAGGAAAAGAAGAAAAAGAAATCTCCCTCTGCCTCTGAGCAATTTTGCCTTGTTGCAGCAAACAGCAAACAGCCTGCTTTACTTTCAGTTTTGTTTTCAGCATAGCTTGATTAGCCCAAGGGGAAAAAAAAGTCTGCTCTAGCAATTTACCTCTTTGCAGCAAGCAGCAGAGCCCTGCGCAAAACAGCTGAGAGCAAATCAGCTGAGAGTTGGGAGGCCAATCCAATCAACTTGTGCTAATTAGCCTGTGCTGAAGCTGAAAGGAGCTGTTTTTTCTTGCTGTTTGCTTGCAAGGAGGCAACTGCTGCGAGGCAGAGGCCAAAGGGTGGGGGCCAGTGGGTGGGCGGGGCTACATTCGGTGTATAAGTCCCACCTAAATTTTCACCCCCTTTTTGGGGGGGGGGAAAGTTGCATCTTATACTCTGAAAAATACGGTAGTCCTCGACTTACAACAGTGAGCGTTTTCCGCAGTGACAAGAATGACTTATGATTTTTTTTTCACACTTGCAACCATTGCAGCATCCCCAATGTCATGTGAAATAAATTCAGACACTTGGCAATCGATTCATATTTATGACCACTGCAGTATCCTGGGGTCATGTGATCATCTTTTGCTACCTTCTGACAAGCAAAGTCAATGTGGAAGTCAGAATCACCTAACAACCGTGTTAACTTAACAGCTGTAGTGATTCACTGAACAACTGTGGCAAGAAAGGTTGTAAAATGGAGCAAAATTCATTTAACAACTGTCTCACTTAGCAATTTAAATTTTGGGCTCAATTGTGGCCGCAGGTCAAGAACTACCTGTATATTCTTCTAAGTAATTTTCAGAAGACTGCTGGTAGAAATCTTCAACTGTGGGATCCTTGGTGTTCTCTGAGCTTGATTGTTTTCTTGTAGACATTTCATTACCAAACTAGATAACATCATCAGTGTTAGTAGGGAGTGAGGCTTGCTCTCATTTTATATTCTAGTGGCTTGCCCTGTCAGCGTAGGTGGGAGTGGTCTTGGTGGTTCCTTGACTAGACTGTTGCTTACTGTTAGCTTGTTTGATAGTTCTTTCACCGGGGCATTGTTTGCTTCTTGGTTGTTGGTTAATCTTGATTTTAATCACTGCTCATCTGAGTATTGATTACTGGTGAGGAGGTGTTTTGGTCTTTTTGTTTCCTTTTTGGCTTTTTGATTGTGTCTTTTGAATAGTATGTAGATGTTGTTTACTGCATATCTACATGCTGTTGATGGCCAATTTGTTCGAGTGGCAGACTTCCAGGAATTCTCTAGTGTTTTTGGACGTGGCCACTTCAACGCAGGTGCTGTAGCTCTGTACTATGATAGTCTCTGAGCCTTTAATGAAACATATTACCAGCCTAAACTCTTATTCATTTAAAGCACAAATTCTTAGTTCAGGATACAGTACTTCAGAACTTTGGTTATAGCTACATGTGAGTGCTTTAGCTTAATAGAACAATTTCATGCATATGATTGACTGTTGCAGATTTACCAACACTTTAAAAAGCTTTTCAAATACAACAGAGCATATTTGTTACTATAATCTTGCTTGTAAGTACTTTCACTAAGGTTAATGGAACTAATTATCCTTCCAATTGATCTTCATAATATGCTGGCCCTGCTAAGTATGGTAAAGAGATTGAAAAGTCCCTTTAATTCGCTGCCTCCAATGCTTTTTAGCTGCCTGCCAGTCACTAAACTGCACAGGCAAAGGTGAGTGGAAATTTAATGGGCTATGGGCAGTGATGGCTAACCTTTTTCTGGACTGAGTGCCCGAAGCGTGTGTGCGCATGCGTGCGCGAATGCGCACATGCACGCCCGAACCCCCAAAATGCAATGTATGCGCGGCCACCTGCATGCACCCCCCCACATGCATGTACGGTCTTCTGCATGGGCCCTGCCCCCCGCACATGTGCACATGGGACCCTTCACGCCCCCCCATGCATGCATTGGAAGAGACCCGAAGATTAGCTGGCCAGCAGGAGGCGCACACGCATGCGCAGTAGAGCTGAACTGGGGTGACGGCTTGCGTGCCATCACTGGCACGCGTGCCATAGATTCGCCATCACAGGGCTATGGCATACTGCCCTCTGCTTGGGTGAAGAAGAATGTAACCATGTCAGAACTTTCTTCCCTTTGCTTGTGCGACCAGAGGAATAAGAGAGCTCTTTCACCGGGATTTCTAATCCCATGGTTTGGGAGAAGTGGCAAATGAAAAGAGAAATCCATTTTTTTAAATCTGCCAGGTCTCCAAATCCATAAACCCACTGGCCCATTAGACAGGGTAACTTGTGGGCTTTGAAAGAGCTACATGTTCCAGCAGGCCTGGGCTTTTGCAAGTTTCAGAGGTGGGAGATGGGTTTGTGCAATATGCACAGAATAGAATCACTCTGAAAAGGAGTTGGGAGGCCTCTAAATTTGATAAATAAAATTAACTGGGTTCCATTTGAATAGAGACTTTGCCCTCTTTTTTTTTTTTATTAAATGTGAAATGTGTTATTAGGAGTCCAGAGATAAGGGAAGGGGCTACATGGTAAAGCAGCAAGAGAGAACTGGTCCTTTCCTTCTATATCATGCAGGCACCCAACCCCAGTCAGTTTTCAACTGAGCTTGAGATCATCTTAGAAGCACAGTCAGAGACCCCTGGTTCAAAATGCCAGACAGCAATAAAAAATGGCATTGAGCCATGCACTCCATGGCTTGGCAATGTCACTTCTCCCCCCCCCCCACCGGCTATGTCCCCATGATATTGCCTGCAGCTCATCCTCTACCCGGGAGAGAGGTTTGAAGTGAAGTGTCCTTTGCTGTACTAGTGTAAACAGAATATTTTGTCCCTCTTATTCTTGCAGCATTCAAGGGCGGCATCATGGTGTTTAAAATCTGCTAGATTTTGTCACTCATAAACTTGCGACCTCCTGACAAACTTAACCGTCTTACTAATTTCACTGCAGCGATTCACTTAACAACTGTGGCAAGAAAGGTCTTAAAATGGGGCGAACCTCACTTAACAAATGTCTTTCTTAGCAACATAAATTTTGGGCTCAGTTGTGGTTGTAAGTTGAAGACTACCTGTACTCATTTTGGAAGAAGATATTCTCAACTGGTGAACCAGGAATGCCTTTTAGGAGTACAAAAATTGGAAGGACCGCTAGGTGGAAGCAGAGATTCTGGAAACACACAGTCTTTTGCAGCCCAGATCTGGCAGCCCTATTTTAAAGCAACGTTGTCTTCTACAGCAGCATCTTGCTGCTCCAGTCTAACGGAATGCCTTGAAAATGTCTGCAAACACACGAATAAGTGATTCACAGACCTAATCCAGACTCCTATAAACCTGACC